GCACCTTCCTGCCTGTGCCCACAGCCTTACCCTTCCCTCTGCTGCCTTCCTTGCCTGTGTCAGCCTTCCCTGTCCTGCCGGGATGGGATTGAGCCCAGCCAGCAGCCAGATGCCTGTCCTGCCTGTGACTCCCTGCCCTCTCCCGTGGGAAGGGGAGAAGAGAGAAAAAGGGGGAAAACCCCACCCTCCTAACTCAGACTAATGACACTTGAATGAGGAAAGCCAAAGCTGCTGGTGCAGTGCTAGTCCAGGTGGGGCCGAGGAGAGAAAACAGAAGGTGCCAGGGACCAGATGCCTCCCATGCCCATGGCACCGCCCCACCACCCACTTTACACCCTGCTCTACTCCCCCACCACATGGCCTCTTGCCTCTCCTCCTTTATTTCTCCCGCTCTGCACAGAGCCACAAGCCCCAAACCAGCCCCACCTGCCTTCCAGCTGCAGTCAGGCAGGACCGCCACAGCCACTTGCCATCTTGGCCGCTTCCCTGCCCACTGCTTCCCCTCCAGCAGACTTTTCCTTTGCCACCAGGTACCTGCTCAGGACCTTGGAGTGTCACTAAAATTTCACAACTGTCCTGTGACCATGCAGGAGAGAGGCTGGGATGCACAGGATGGGGGGGTAGGAGGAATTCTGTCTTTGTGGGCGTGAGGTAGCTGCTCCTCATGGGGCACGCCGAATGCCCTTTTGCACTTTGTTCTTAGACCTTTCAAGTGTTCAGGTACAACATGATTTGACCTCTCACTGCTCAGCACATGCAGAAAAAGGCACAAACATACTCTGCTTTGGGATGTCGGAAAATAGATGTCGGTGTGTGAAGTATTCGAACATACTTTTTCAGAACTCATGCACTGCTGTTTAGCCTGCAAAGAAGTGTAGGAATATGTATATTAACTTCAGTTTCTTATACTGTTTAGAGAAAAATACATGCTGGTAAAGCACAGCTGAATATTGTAATTAAATTGAAATGTAAATTTCTTTTCATTCTGGGTCATTGCTTCTGCCTTTAAATCCTTGATCCTTCCCAAGCTCTTGCGCTTCAGCTGACTGCCTTGGAAGTAATACCAGAGAAGTGACCAGAGCATAGGCTTGGATGCACACTTGGCTGTGGATGCAGCATGCAGAGCTGCAGCCACTGCAGCGTTGTAAATCGAGTCTAAGGCACAACTGCCTTGCAGTGCAGCTCATTACCTGGACAAACTGCCATCTAAAAAAGCACCCCAGCCCAGCCCCTTGTCCCTGTCAGCTGTGAGTCTGTTCAGTCATCAGGAATCATGCAGCTGGGGTCGTGAGGCATGGCCTGGAATTCCTTGTCACTTGGCCTTTTCCTGTGGTTGAACATCAGACTTGAACACAGGGGGAGCTGCTGAGGCTCTCCTTTCAGAAAAGCTGTGGTGGTGTGTTCTGTTAAAGACAAGGCTGCCGGAGCTGAGTTGTCTCAGCACAGCAGCTCCTCAGTCCAACACGTGTGGTAACCAACTACCAGACAGGCTGCACAATTCTGCAAATAAAGATGCATGGGTGTGTGTGCTTCTACAGAGCAAGAGTTGAGCTTTTTCTCTCCAACAGTACCATTTTTCATGGACAACTTCTTTATTTTCAATTTGTGATTTCTGAGCACATATGTTAGTATTTTTGGCAATGCCACAGTTAATTTTTTTTGTCTCCTTCATGCTAGAAGTACCAGTTGAGCCTGGCACCAAAACCTGTTAGCACTGTTAAGTTCATAATGAAGTCCAAAGTACTGGAAGATCTAAAAGTCCTTTAACAAATAACAGTGAAAAAGAAAGATAATAGAAAGAAAACTAAGTAGTATTACCATTAAAATACATGAATAGTTTGTGAAAGATCTTAAACACACAGGCAAGATCACAGAGAGGGAGATGGAAGAACCATATATATATTAATTATTTAAAATTAAGGATAAGATTAAGAGAAGTTCTTACATTAAGTAACAAAACCCATACACATTATAATGCAGAGCTAATGGCAGTAGCAAATGAAATGTAGTAAGCATGTTCATATGTACAATATCTATTAAAAAAAAGGATGTGTTCATATGAACATGCACGTAGAACTTGCATTCCCTTGTAATCTACCAAAGCTATTCATCAATATTAAAATTATTTCAAACCATTTTCATATTTTTGGTTAATTCTTTGTGATGTGGGTTTAACACAGACTTTTATTTAAATTTAGATTTTTCCAAACTACAGGACAAGACTAGCATTCCTTGACATAGCTGAAACAGTATCCACTTATCCAACAGTGATGTAAAATGAATCATGCACAAAATAACACAGTTTTGAGCTTTTTAAACATCATATGGTCCTAATTTTTTTTTCAGGAGTGGTTTTTATCAACTTGTATCAGTTCTGCCATAAACTCCTGCTTTATGCACATTCATTTACTGTATTTATACTGCTGCCCTCTAGCAGATTGTTCAGTTTAGCAGTAGACATCTCGGACAGTTTGCTGACTAAAAAAGTGAAAATACACACACATATGCACACAGATACCCTTCCACCCCCCCATAGGTGTGTATATGAGTGCACATGTCTGTTATAAAAATCAATTCTTTAATTGCTGAACAAAACCATGTAGTAGGTTATACCAGACCTACTGGCAGAAAATGCAGCTGCTCTGGTAGCCTGCAAAAGGAGAAGACTAATTCCAGAGGTACAGACCCACTGCGAAGAATGCTTGGTCGGCAGCTCTGCCCAGCTGATCAGGCACAGCCTGAAATGACAGCTTCCCACGTGGCCGGGTGGCACATCATTCAGGTAAGACGACGATGTAGTCGCTGTCATCAATATCTGTGGAGAAATCAATTAAGGAAACAAAAAAAAAAAAGAAAAAAGATGTTGTCGTTTCAAATGGCTCATGCCCTGGGGCCATGTTGCTGGGATTGGGTACAGGAAGGTTTTCTTCTTTACGGTAACTGTGCTCAATGAAAGGGTTTCCCTTGCTCACGCATGCTCGCGCTGTGGCTCTCTAACACTTAGTCAGAGGACCCAGAAGAGTTTCAAGGTTATTTTGCAGCCTGTGCCCTGATGGATAATGCAACTGAGGATCGTACAGCAGTAATATATGGAATGGCTTTTGAAAGCGTGCAAGGCTTGCTGACAAGTTACCAATAGTATCTCTATTCATCCTCCTTAGACCAAGGATGTAAAGATGACATGGTCTACAACTTTGTGAAAACCACTAGCTTTGTTGTATCTATTTGCATAATATTTCTGTCAGGTGGAAATCTTGTATCCTTATCTTACATCTGGGTCTTGTGACCATAAATTAGCAGAAGATCAACCAGAGGCTGATCTGGCTGGTCCTGAGCAAAAGGCTATATGCTTCTGAATTTCAGCACACAGTCACCAGCTGGCTTCCTCCCTCCAGCATCTCAAAAATAACTGAGTTAGATTTTGGTGTAAAAGTAGCTTCTATTCTGGACAATGAAGGCAAAGGACAGCCTCAGCCCTCAGTGAAGCGCAAGGGCCTGACAGCTTGGCAGAATCACGTTGGCTAGAATATGTAACCTGTGAGCCGGGATTAACCATTTTCCACTGAATATAAGAGAGAAGGAAAGATGTTGAACTCTCTGTGTGAGTGTAGTGCTAGGGCCTGAATTGTAGGCCCTGAACTGAAGTTGACCTTTAGATGAACCTCACAACCTCACACTATACAGTATTAGTCACACCTGTAATGTATTGATAATCTATTTTAATGTATATATATATATATTCCAATGCCAATCTGTAAAAGCTTTGCTGTAACACTGAATGTGTAGTGGGAACTAGCAGAGCAATCTTTCTTTATTTAAAGGCCAGATGCCTTTAGATAAAGAGGGCTGGAAAACTGGCTGCCACTTGCTTTCTTAGAAGCATGTTACAAGACTGTGAGACAGAGGCCTGGCTTTGGTGAGAAATATGTGATTAAGGATCAAAATAGATAGAGAGACTCCCTTGTATTCTTCCTTCAGCCCTGGCCAAGCTGTGGGAGGAATCCAACAGAGTGGACAACACCAGATCTTCCCACATTTGAAGTTAGGTAAGATTGTTTATTTAATATTATAAAAGCTGGACCCTCTTGCAGCGACTTTGGAGACCTCACCTATGAGTGGATACCCTTCGTAGGTCTTCCCAATTGTTGGGAGGGTTCTCCTGAATCCCCGCTGCAACAGGGGCTCCCCAGCGACTGCAGATCTGGATGATGCTATTAGGGCGATTGGTGATGCATCCTTCTTAATAACTGTCGCTAACTGCGTATAGTACTGATTAGATGCATTACCCTGCTTCTTCTCCTTTCTGCTTAAAACTGAAATACAATAAGCTTGCATCGCCTTATTCTTGTAATACATTGAAATACACCGTAAAATAAGTCGACCCTTCCGTTGGTCCCTGTGTCCTTTTCTGCGGGACACCCCCACCCCGGGCCAATTAGCAAAACAGTGAGCTGGTCTCAAAGGACACTTAGCAGCTATTCACCACAACCCTGTCAATACAGTCATCTCAAAAAAAACCCCTCAAAGGCAGAGCTAAATTTCTCACCCTCATAAATGTTGTCTTTTCCCGACTTGAATGTCTGCCTTCTTTGTGAGGCCTGTGGCTTATTTACTGGGTCGCGGAGGTTTGTTATTAGTCCTTGATTTGGCTTTTCATAATTGTATATTAGGTCCTTTAGCGTTCTGAATATCTTCTGTGGAACACCTTCATATGTCTGCAAGGAAAGGAAAATAAAGTTTCTTTGCAACTACCATAGAGTCCTCTAAATGAAAGGAGTGGTAGGTTGTTTCTTGTTTACCAAGGAGCTGTTTTCTAAGGAGATTTGGAGATAGAATACTGTTCTGTCCTTAAAACAATAGGCATACCTGTTCAGTGGCATGGTTAACCTCACTCACCATCTTTTTTTTTTGAAAAAACATCAGTTAATATTACTGGCTTAGCCAATAATATGTGTGCTGCAGCAATCCTCTGCAGCAGAGTGTCGAGAGTGATGGCATTACAGACTTCCCTCTGATCTCAGAGAACAAATTTAGGGTGGCATATTTAGTTCTCACTTAAAATGTTATATTTACACAACTAGGTGACAAGCAGAAGCCCAGCGTTTTGCAAATTATCGGCATCCTTAAGCAAAGGACACGTGCAGAGGCAGCAGACTTGTCTGAGGATCCACATGAAAGTCCCCAGCACCAGCTTTCACTTTTAGACAGGAGTTTATTTGTCCAGCTTTGTGACTTGCATTGGAGACTCCCGAGGCCAAACATGGAGGATATCACTCCTAGGCAGGGGAGCAGCGTTCTCACAAACTGCTGTTTAATGTGTGGATTCGTACAGCTGGACTGAACTGCTCCCGCAGCGATCTGTGCAGAGACTTTGCAACGCTGGTGACTTCAGGACAGGGACAGCCAGCAAGCACATCTATCAGCTCTGATCACAGCGAGGGTCCTACTGCTAGTCATTAAAAATGATTGGGTTTTTGATTTTGCATCATTCACAATCTAACAAACTAACACGTCTTTATATTCTTTTTTTTTTCTGCACCCTTTATCTTCCCTTCAGCCCTGTATGGATTGGGTGCCACTGCCTCTGTGTACTGGGTCTGGCTGGGATAGAGTTACTTTCTTCATAGCAGCCTGTATAGTGCTGTGGTTTGAATTTGTGATACTGGTGTATTGGTAACACACCGGTGTTTTGGCTGCTGCTGACCAGCTCTTGCACAACCTTGAGGGAGTCTCTTTCGCAGCCTGCTCTCCCAGCGAGTAGTTTGGGGGTGCACAAGGCACTGGGAGGCAACACAGCAGGACGGTGAACTTGAACCAACCAAAGGGGCATCCCATCCCGTCCCATCCCATCCCGTCCCGTCCCGTCCCGTCCCGTCCTGTCCCATCCCATCCCATCCCATCCCATCCCCTCCCATCCCATCCCATCCCATCCCACACTGTGCTCAGCAGTAAAAGCTTGGGGAAAGTGGGGACATTTGTGGTTTTGACATTTGTCTTCTTGAGTAACCGTCAGATGTGCTATGACCCTGCCTTCCAGGAGGTGGCTAAACATCTGGCCCCTGATGGACAGTAGTGGCTGAACTCCTACTCTGTTTTGCTTGTGGTCACAACTTTGCTTCACCACTTAAATGGTCTTTTATCTTTACCCAGCAGTTTCCTTGGTTTTGCTCTTCATATTCTCTTCCCTCTACGCTGTCCCACTAGGGGAGGGAGGGAGTGAGCAGCTGTGTGGGTGCTTTGCTGCTGGTCAGGGTCAGCCTCCTGCACTCTAGAAAGTTTGTGGCTGAATCTGGCCATTAAAAAAAACCCCAAGCAATCTTCCCTCTACTATCAATGTATTATTTCAGTAAGCCAAAGCGATCTTGACTTAAAAATTTGAAGAACAGAACACTTTTTCCACAATCTTGGCAAAGCCTTGTAAGGAAAATTTGGTTTGAAAAACTAAAAGCATTTGAGTTATTGGCTGTTGATAGGCATGACAACAACCCCAGTATTCCTCTTCGTGGGAAATTGTTTCTTTCGTACTCAGTACAAACCACGAATAAACAAGAAATTAACAGCATGTGAGAGCTTGGTGTGTTCTCTATGGAGCGAGTTCCTTGTTTCACTTAAATGCTACTTAATTGTTGGCAGTCTGCTTGGCTGTGCTACTGCAAACAAAGAAGTGAGCTAGCTTTTTAAGTGTCCTCTGACCTTGCCTAGGGATTTGATTGATGAAGACTGCTCTTACACTTATTCAAGCAGCGAGCAGTGTTATCAGGGGTCATCACTTCAGGTGCCTCAGAATCACAAAAAATTACAGATAGGTCTCTAAATCAAAAAGAGCATTGCAATATTCCAAATCCCTACAGCATGCTGGGTGCAGTGGCAGAAAGTAACGAAAGTAGATTTTTCTTCAATGCTGTCAAGAAGAAATGGTCAAATCAGAAAGCAACTGATTGACAAATAACAGATATACTTAGGTTATAAGGGAATTCCAGAAAGATAAGAGCTACTTCTGAGCTCATATATAGTAATAGCGTTAGAAAGTCAAGAATTGAGTAGAGAAGAAAGCAAACTTGGAAACATTTTCTAAGGTAATGTGTTTGTTTATATTGATCTTCAGTGCAAACTTTACAGATGAAATGAGTTACTCACCTGTATTCTAAAATATCCATCCTGTTCCTTGAAGATACGGTAAGTGTGGATGAGTCCTTCAAAGCTGTGAAAAACAATGTTGTATAATTATGCTTTTTATCAACTGTCAGACCTCTGCAACTTGCTTAGATTGCTAGAACTGCTCTTAACAGACAGTTTTTGGTTTTGTTTGCTTGTATCTTAAAAGTAAACTGCAATACAATGAAAGACCAAAAAAAAACAACACCAAAACCCAGATCTAAAAGAATGCCTGATGCTAAATAGCATCAAGTATATGTATATACATATGCATTCACTTTTCCAATTGATTCATATATTGAAGCTTTCAAAATATTTAAGATTCTTTAAGTCATATGTGTAGTTGTTTGTTAGCCAAAATTAGTCATGCATGTGGTTTTCTTAAGCCTCAGAAATCCAAATATTACTTATCACACCTTTTCAATTCAGATACCCCAATACATTTCCATGCAGACCTGTTAGATTTTGGACCAAATTTATGGCACTCTTTTTTTTTGCCCCGCAGAGCTTGGCCACGTATGGTAAATGTAAGAGTGTTGTATTCAGTCTGCAGTCACTGGCTGTTGCTTAGCTTGGATCTTAATAAAGCAGATCCACATGAGTGAACTGCCTGAGCCTTTCTCCAGCTTCTTAGGTGCATTTCCTGTGCTGAGTTTTGTATGACTACAGCTCCGATAAAGTAGATCCAGTAAGTCAAAGCAGTGAAAACGGTTCAATTTTATACATCCAGAAAGGGCTGGATGTTGATGAGGATCTGTATTACTTGTTCTGAGGCAGTAAAACACAAAACAGGCTCTAGAATTCCACGACAGGTGCCACGTAAGAACAATTCTTGCTTCCACAGGATGTCCAATCTTTGCTCATCACAAGTAGAATTGCTTCAGGGCACTAGAAAGCACTTTGTGCAAATGTCAGTGTGAGAATTAACTGCAAGCAAAGGGCTGTCATCAAGAACAGCAGCATCTCCATCCGCAGTGAGGAGAATGGCAGTCGTGGCCTGGTTGACTCTCAGACTTTATATTGGGTTGGATTAATTATCAGACAACCTTTCTGCAATGGGAAGACAGTGCTAATATGTATCCCTCCTTCAAAAAAATGTAGCTTTTTGAAAGAACTAAATAGCTACAAAGACAAGAGCAAGGTGCCCTTCTTACCCTGAAGTCCAGGGGAAAATGGGCTGGCTTCCAACTGATTGACACATCCACAAGAGAAGCAGTAATCACAGAATCACAGAATCAGAGAATGCTAGGGGTCGGAAGGGACCTGGGAAGATCATCTAGTCAACCTAAGATCATCTATCCAACCTAATCTTTCAAAAGGCTAATGTACAGTTGAGAATAAGGATGAGAGATTCACCTGGGATATGCGCCAAGACTGCAGTGCTGTATGGAAGCAAGCACATTGGCATAGTGATGCTCTGAAAGATTGTCTTTGAGGATGCCTCCTCTAATACTAATAGAAGTTGGGAAGGATATGAGGGGAGAGAGAGAAAGAAAACCATACTAATCTAAGTAGTGGTAAAGAATGATTCTGTAGACAACTGGCAGTTCACCTTTTGCATGAGATCTGCTGGCATTCCTCTGAAGAAAAGACCAGGTGGGGAGGTTGCCATGGCATACACAGGAGAGTGGAATTGCAGAATGTTTTTTTCATATAATTTGCTTTCCTTGTGGAAGCCCTCATGTAGTTGTGGCACCACATACTCCTACTGTTGTTCCCCACACTGCCCCACATAGTCACCCCTTGAGCTGTCTGTACCTTCATGTATTGCAGATGTGATCACGTGCCTGCTTCAACCTAGAATGTGCTTGATTTGACCAGAGTATAGCTAGAGATGTGTATAATAGCAGACATATACTCATGAGTACGTATGATACTAGGAACCTAACTGTGGGCTGAGTCTCTTACCACTGTTGCCAAAAGTAGACACTGTGGTGGAAGAAACACCACGACAGTTTTAACAAACCATGAGACTGGAACTATCTGCAAATAGCAGGTAGCATTAAAGACGTGAGAAGTTGTGCAGTAAAATTGAATGAGAGAAATATAGAAAAGCAAAACAGAAGGGAGTCTAGAGTTTGCAAAATGAGAGAACATTTCATGTCTTGAAATATGAGATTATTTTAACCAGGGGTTTCAAAGAACTTATGAACTAAATCCAACACAGGGCAGAGTAATCTGATTCCACAGTCATCCCATCTTCTCATCCATCTTCTTATCCTCCTCACATGTGATACCTCCTTAAACTTCATTTTGCAGCTGTATGACAAGAGGGCTGTTGAGCTCTTGGAGAGGTGTTAGCAGAAAATGGCCTCTGGTCACCAGCACCCAGAAAATGACTGTGCAGGTCTTACTTCTAAGAAAATTATTCTTCCTTTGCATTTCCAAGGGTTTTAGTTATTGAAAAATGTAACAATGTGCAGGTGTTTGAACACTCACGCTACTGACAGCTTTGGTTATATTTTGTCAGCAGAAATAAAAACTTTATCAAATACCATAATGATAGCTATTCGAAAGATGAACTGGAGATCATGACCATGATCAAAAAAAGCAGTAAAGTTGCAAAGAAATATACACCACAAGTAAGAGTGTGTGTGTGTGTGTGTGTGTGTTTGTGTGTGTGTGTATGTGAACCAGTATCTGAAAACAAATTGTTTTAACTGGTACGCATGTTCTTCAGATGGACTTCACCTGTAGCTACATGAACTGAGCAGTCAGGAGAGGCAGAATCTTAGGGTGAAAACCTAGCTCAGGGCACTTGCACATAAACGAATAGTTACTCTGGAAATAAATTCTGCCAAGAAAAGTTACTATGTAATGAGATCAGGATAAGACTTCCAGTTAGAATAGATTTACTTTAATTCAGAGAGTTGCATCACAGCGCTCCTGACTATGTTGCAAATGCAGGTGTTCATTCTTTAAACATAGACATAGAAATGAGAAAAAAAAGTACCAGAAATCAATCATTTTTTGAAGCTCATTCTTTACACACAGCCTAAATTTTGAAAGATTACTGCCTGTTTTGCAACCTACCATAAGATTTTTCACTGTGTTGACAGTGAAAAGTCTCAGGGTAAATTACGAAACAATTTCTTCTGCATTTCTGTGAAATGCTCTTTACTCATCAATTACAGAGACAGTGACTTTGAGTAAGTTTCTTACCATGTTTGGGCAGGCTAAGCTGTTTTCTCTGAGTTCCCCTTATTGTCTTTAGAGAGAGATGAGCATCAACAGATTATATTTCACAGATTCAGTTTGGACGGGATAGATCATCTATGTTGCATAAAAAGTTTTTGCAAGTGCCACCCTCTGCCGAAGGCAGCTAGCATTATTTGAATATGTAAAACACACTACCCTGGAGTCTGTTAATATTAGGGAAGAACTATTAATGTTAGAGAAGAAGAACAATTGTCTTTGGATTTATCTGAAAACTCATAAAAAAATTAGTATTAAAGTACTTACAAAACACAGAGACACAAAGCTCCTTCCATGCTTTCACTTTCTCGTATTAAATAGCTACCATTTTTTCTGGTCTTGGCCAACAGTTCTTCACAGGTTCTTTTTGTTATCTTTCCATGAAAAAATGGGAAATCCATGGACAAAAGAAAGCAAGGTCTCTTGCCTTTCAAAGCAATTCCAGAGGAAGTCAGAAGCTGGCAAGGAAAGAAGATTTATTCCAAATGCATCTCTCTGCAGACAACTGAAGTTGGAGGTGCTAAGTGCATAAATGAGTTCGTCTGTTGTTACTGACCTGTGTTATCACTGCCCACAGCGAAGTCGGTTACAGCAGGAAATGGGATCTGGTTTGTCAACACTGGTCACAGCCCACGTCAGAAGAGTCTTTTATCACATTATAGCAGCGGACATTTGAATTGTGATTCATGCTTCTAAGCTATGCAATAGCTAAGTTGACACCTAAGTATAGTTAAATGTTCAAGTTAACTTCTATGTTTAAAATGGCTCAAAGCCCTGCAAATAGGGTTCTTGCTCATGGTTTTGAAAAATGCTGCTTGGTTTGTTTCCTTTCTTTGCTAGACCGCTTGTGCTGTTCACTTGCTTGGGTTTTCTTGTGTTTTTTTGGGGAGTTGTTTGTTTGTTTAGTTTTGGGTTTTTTATTTGTTTGTTGACGGTTTTTTGTTTCTTTTTTTCTTTGATTTTTCAGGTTTGGTGAAAGCTAGCAATATTTCAGAAAGTTTTCAAAACAGAGCAATTCCCCCCCACCCCGTTTTTGTTTTTAATCTGTAGCTATTTTATCAAGATGTTCTGCTGTCTCTGTGCCATAGCTTAGGAAATATGGCAAGAAGAAGAAGGGGAGTCAAACAGTACCTTCTACTACTCTGGGAAGCTGCTGTCAGTTCTACAAAGACCGTATATAGCCACGTGTAAACTGCTGCTCCCCAATGGAGGAAAACTGCCCAGCTCCACAGGAGATGCTCTGCCAGGGATTTTGTGCTTTCTTTGCTGTGAGCCAAGGACGAGGGGAGAAGCAGAGAGACCTGGAGAGACAGGAGATAAGAACCAAACTGGGCAGTGTTTGTGAGGGAGAGCAAATTGTGGCCAGTAGGACCAGGGAAGTGACCATGCCTCTGTACTCAGCACTGTCGAGGCTGCATCTTGGCACTGTGTTCAGTTTTGGGCCCATCACTGCAAGAAAGACATTGAGGTGCTGGAGTGCGTCCAAAGAAGGGCAACAAAACTGGTGAAGGGTCTAGAGGAGCACAAATCCAATGAGAAGTGGCTGAGGGAACTGGGGTTGTTCAGCCTGGAGAAAAGGAGGCTGACGGGGCACCTTATCGCTCTCTACAACTACCTGAAGGTTCGTAGCAAGGTGGGACTCTGTCTCTTCTCCCGAGTAACAAGAGACAGGCCAAGAGAAAACGGCCTCAAGTTGCACCAAGGGAGGTTTAGATTGAATATTAGGAAGAATTTCTTTACTGAAAGGGTTATCAAGCATTGGAATGGCAGTGGTGGAGTCCCTACCCCTGAAGATATTTAAAAGTCATGTAGGCATAGGGATGGACATTAGGGATATGGTTTAGTTGAGGACTTGGCATTGTTAGGTTAATTGTTGGACTTAATAGTCTTAAAGGTCTTTTTCAATCTAGGCAATTCTGTGATATGAGGGAAGCAGTGATTCAGATGGAAAGAATAGCAGGAGAGACAGAGCCCTCAAAGGAGGGGAAGAAGGATCTTGGACTCCTGAAATACAGCCCTGTCTCGAGGTCAAAATGGAGTGTTGGCACTAGCAAGGGTCTTCTTGACTTCAGAACATACTGATTGCCCTTCCACCTTACTGCTCTGACACCTAGGGTCACTGCTTTCTGAACTATGGAGTCATTGTGATATGTCATGATTTCCTTGTTGCCAAACTATGCCAGTGACTCCCTTGCCTCAAGGCAATGGCTTCTACAATTTCAATTCAGGGTAACATCTGGCACCATGGCTGCTACTTACCCCGTTAGTACTGGTGATACTGGACCCATGTGATGCAATTCCAGGATCTACTTCTCTGATGATCCACACAGAAGATGAGAGCATGACAAAAAGATGACATTTTGATATTTCCTCTTTCTTTTTCACAAATCCTCCCCCATTTCACAAAACTCCAAGAAACTTGTGATGATAAGTACTTGACAGGATATGCAAGAGTTACAGCATGCTGCTGCCAAAACCTCAGTTCTCATCCTTTTGGTAAATGAAGCATGACAAAGGATCAAATGTGATGGTGGGGATGGTAATATGTATGATTACTGTTTTCCCATGTGCCATCTTCTTCACTAAAGCCATAGACTGGGCTGTGCTACCGGAGTAAGTCAGGACCATACAGGGGAGGAGGAAATTATCTATTGGAACTCTTGCCTTTTCTGTTCAAAATTAACAGGTGAATTTGAGAAAGGAAAATGAGTGTTTTGTGATGTCCTGATCAGCCTCAGTCATGAAGCCATGAAAAGTGCCAGAAAAGACTTGGCAATTCTCTGTTCATGCAGAGATTTAGAAAGAGTTCATCAAAGTAAGCTGTAGAGCTACACAAGGATTTTAACTGAGAAACAAAGTGTGAGAGTCAATAACCGCTGGCATCTTGACCATAGAGTGGGAAAAACATCCCATGGAAAAAACAAGGTAAATACTGACTGAACACTGGCAAGCAAGGACAGCTGTACTGTATATGCTGCTGTTACTTTCATGTTTCTTACTCTGACAACTTTATACACAAAAATGTTGTATTAACATCAGTGTGTTTAACTGTAAGTTAATCATGCATGACATGAGGAACATTTCTGGATGGCATCATAGTTCAGGAATAGAGCAGAAAGTTACAGCTTTATGCCAAAGAAATTTAAAGAGTTAGAAAAAAGATTCCCCTAAAAGAGAAGCTTAGAAATGGCAAGTCCAAGGTGAAACTAAAGCTGAAGTCTGTACTTCAGTGAGCACAGATTACCAGCAAAACAAGTCCACATCCCCAAGGGGATAGTGAGAGTGGGAGGAAAATACCCCCCCTCACCTTGCAAGAATCCTCAAGAGCATGGGGCAAAGGTTCTTCTAGTCATCAAATAACACTTGTCATCAAATGACACTAGTCATCAAATAAGACTTGTATTTTCCTACAAGTTATAACTGTCTGGGCTTTTGTCTGCATGTCTTATAAATAGAAGTTTTCCATGAGGTATTGTGAGCTAAATGGTTTTTCCAGAAGCCCAGCTCAGCAAAGAACCAGCACCAGCTGCTCAGCACCACCCTGCTTCAGGCAGTTTCTCCCCACTCTGCATTGCAGTTGTTTCCTCTCTGGTTTCCTTTCAAATTCTTCTTTCAGGAAGGTGATTACTACATGTTCTTCACAATTTTCTCTGATGACCTCATTAGCTAGGTGCAATTTCTGTAGATCTTGCAGATCTTAATGTAGAAGTTGAAAGAGAAGCCACACATTGCCCACAAACCACTTAGTAAAGTGCTTCACTGATGACAAAAAAAAACCTTGAGAAGGAGAAAGTCCTTGAGCAGAAATGGGGCTAGGAGGGTCCTTTCAGCAGTAATCGCCATCCTCAGCCTTGGCCACCTTCCTCCTCGGGCAACACCAGAATCAGCAGGTTTGCTCTTGCCCAGCCTTGTCCTTTTCCTGCCAATGGCAGATGCAGTGTTGGTGCTGGTCCTCAAGTGAGCACAGTTCTGTTTCATTGACACTCTTCAGATGCCTTGAACTAGCTCTGGGAAAGATATGGTGAGGTTTGAGATGATACTTAAGATCCAGGCAAAGGGCATCAGGCAAGGGGAAGCAGAATGCAAGATTCGGATGGAGAAAAAGCACCCGTGGCAGGAAGACAAAGCATGAAGAGGAGATTCTGTGTGGGGAAGCAGGAGCAACAGCTAGGGGGATTGAGAGGAATGGAGGAAGGATCAAGGCAACAGAGTGACAGGAAGGATACTGAAAAAACATTGGAAAGGAAAAAGCAATGGACCTCAAAAAAAGTGAAAAAATACTAAAGAGGATTTACAACATAAAGGAGAGTTTTAATTAAGGGGCTTGGATGGTGATAACTTTATCAGAGATAGCAACAATTTTAAGAGACTTAATGGGATGAGAAATTTTGGAATAGCAATCAGGAGCTGCATTTGAGGGAAGGGCTAAGATTGTCATATATCAGCTACAAATTATCAGATAACTAATGAAAGAAATATTTGTGTATATTTGTAGGACTAAGAAAAGAAGAGGACAAATGGAGAGGAGCTTGAGAATAGTGAGAAAGAAGATTTGAAAAGGAAAAACTCAGACTAAAGGGAGAAAGGAGTTAGGCTGTGATAAAATAATTTGATATGTCAAATAGAAAAAGTTTATAAAGAAAATGCATCAAGGACAGCAGAAGGATTAGATTTGGGAGAAGACCTTATTATAAGTAAAAGGGGCTGAGACAGACACCAAAGATTAGTAGATTTGGTAATAACTGAATGTAGTGGAATATACTGTCAGCTATGATAACTAATACATGGAATCATATAATGTGTTGGGTTGGAAGGGACCTTTGTAGTCTCTTCTCTTATTTCACAGTCTGGGCAGTTACTGAGCTCACGTGATATTAGAGCAATTGTGCTTAACACTGGTGAAAACCACAAATTTTGTGTTTGGTACTCAACTCTGGATACTGCAGTTGCTTGGTCTCCCTGGTTTCTAACTCTGAATACCACTGAACCTCTAAAATTCTCTGAGAGTGTGGATTTGGGTGCTTAAAAGAGTGCCTAGTGTTGTAGCAGGCATCCTAGGACAACTAAGGTAGCCACACAGGGCTGGCAGATGGGACACTGGATGGGCATGGTTGGATCCATGACCTTTTGGAAAGGCAGGTGGAGGTCAGTCAGGATATCTACAGCATTTCAAGCAGCACTAGATGACGTTGAGTTGCTGCTTTTGAATCTAAGGAAGCCAACCCCTTTACTTGCTTCTTAAAGAATTAGCTTCCGCTCTGGATACAGAAAAAATAAAGTGAAAACACCAACTTCACTTAAGAGAAAACACAATAGGCTCAATAGCTTTCTCAGCTGAGGAAGGTTTGCTTTCCTAATTATATTTGTGCCCCTATGCAGCAATTCCTTACTACAAAAACAA